GCAGCATCAATGGGCTTAAGTGTGGCAACAGTAGTGAGGTTGGCCCAGAATTGGGCAGTGTTTTGTTCTGCTGTACATACGGTCACTATGAGTCGGTACCAACTCAATAGCACCTAACAACAATGACTAAAACAAACTACTGGTGTGGTTCTGTAGGATCAGCATTGAACCACAAGGTCAACAGTTCAAACTTACCAGTTGCTCCTCACAAACCTACATGGGGTCACTCTGGGTCAGAACTGACTTGATGACACTTAACAGCAAAAAACAAACATCTAAAATCAAAATAAAAACAGTAATGATTGCTTATTTTTAAAAGCAATCACTTGATTTGGGCAGAAATCAATAGATTTAAGATGCATATACTTCAAGGAGATTATTGAGAATGGTACAATTAAACATGTACATGTATACTAGCAGAGTCCTGGCACTGTAGGATAAACCCTAGACTACAAGATTTGTTGAACTGCAAGGTCGGCGATTCAAACCCACCAGCCACTCCTCAGAAATCCTATACAGGGTTGCTATGAGTCAGAACCAACTTGAAGACACTTCACAACAACATGTATAACAGTACACATGTGAGTGATGAACAAAGGATAAGGAGTGAATTCCAGAGTGGTAAAAAGTGACATTTTCATGTAGGATCTCTTTTCCTGTCCTCTTTTACTTTAATGATGTTTAAATTCAGTCAAAGAATGTCTAGGTAGTTGGTATACCTTAGCCTATGGCTTCAATATTAGACTTAAAGATATAGTCCTGTTACCTCATAAAACCTGAAGCAAAAGAAAAGGGAAGATGAAACAACTGACAGGTGAGGAAAGGTTTGGAACAGAAAAATTGAGGTAAGGAGCACAGTTTCTAGATTCAGTATTTGACCAAAGTTTCAACCCTGAATCTACTATTTCCTGGGCTAAGCTTAGTTCATGACCTTAGACAAACATTTGACCTTTCTAAACTATCAACTGTGTCATCCATAAAGTGTTAATGGTAATAGAACTTGGGAGTTTGGGCATGGTGCTGTGGGATAAAGCACTGGATTGCAATGTTGGTTTGAACCATAAGGCCAGTGGCTTAAATGCACCAGCTGCACCTTGGAAACCCTATATAGGGTCGCTATGAGTTGGAACTCACTCAATGCACTAACCAACAGCAACAAGAATAGAACTTGGGTGGTGAAAACTGTTGACTTGCATACTAAACCAAAGTTGGAAGTTCGAATCCACCCAGAGACATCTTGGAAGAAAGATTTGGCAATCTACTTCCAAAAAATCAGCCACTGAAAATCCTATAGAGCACAGTTCTACTCTGCCACATATGGGGTCACATGACTAATGGCAAGTGGATTTCAAAAGGTCCTAGCTCCAGTGTTGATTTGAGAATTAAATGTGAAAATCCATGCAAGATGCCTGAGCAGGAACACTCATGGAACGGTTAGCTTGCTTTCCCAATCAGTTGTAAATACCTAGGTATGCTTTTCATTTAAATCTCTTCTACCCAGTAGTTTTACTGTCTTCAGTATGAAACCAACTGATGCTAAGTAGCCTGAGGAAGTTTCTGCTTCAAATTAATTAAATAAAAAATTGTTAACATGCCTTGAGGGAATGATGAGCAGAGAAAGTCTGAAAATATGCTTGGCATAAGATATTTCAAACACCAACATTCATTTTATTGCTTGCATAAAGACAGCACCTTTCCCCCTATTTCACAGTATTATAGGGAAAAAAAATAAATTTGAAAATTTACCTTTTGTTTCTCATTTGAACCCTTCTTACTGGTCTCTTTTTTACTTTCATCTTCATACACGAGAACAAAGTCAATTCTTCGCTGGCCATCATTAAAAAAGAGGGAGTCAGGTTTATCATTATATTCTTCCTGTGTGCAATAGAAAGAAAAATTGTACTATCAATGTTTTGAAGGAAAAAAAAAGTCAATTTATAATTGCTTATGTCCTAGCTTCAATAGATTCATTGATATGTTCAAACCGAAAGAGAAATGCATTGATGACTAGTTTTTTAACCAAGTTGTCATGGTCTTGGTCATAAACATGGTCTTCTTGGTAATAGCTCTTGGAAGTCAGCTGTGTAGCATGTTTCTAGAGATGCATGGAAATATGTCCATAGTATGTATTCCCATGTTATGGAACTATATCAGGGCTCTGGGATGGTTAGCTCTACCTCAAACAGCAAATGGAGTACATCAAGATCAAAAGAGGATACAGTAAACAGAGGTGCCTATATGAAGGACGTGAGTTTATTAAAAAAGAATAAAAATCAAACAAAAGAATCACTATGAAAATGCCAGTCCCTGGCCATAGTAAATATAATGCTAGATACCCTGTCAATAATACCTCTGTTTCATTTTAATTTTTGAGGACATATAGAAGACAGGCTTTCTGCTCTGGCAAAGATTTAAAGGCTCAGAAACCCTAAACAGGGTCGCAATGAGTCAGAACCGATTCGACAGCATTTAACAACAGCAACAACAATAGAAAATAAGGGTTAAGATGGGAAATATTTCTGGATCGGGGTCTCTTTCAAATACTCATTGAAGAATCTGATGTCGAAAGGTCAGCATATAATTTCTTGAACTAGTATTATCCAAGTAAGTAAAACAGATGGGGCTCTAGTGTGTTTGTTTCTAGTAGATAGCATACATGTGTTACTCTCTCTATCTTTCAGGCAACTTCTGCCTTAAAATAATCTCCAATTCTACCTACCTAACTGGAGAAGGGGAGAAGAGACGATATTGTCCTAAAAAGAAGAGGGTGGCTCTTAGGTGCTTTCTGAAATTACATGTGAGATGTCCAATATATATATATTTTAAAAGCAATAATATGTTGATGTTCACATACAAATAAAAAAATATACAATCATTTAAATATCCTAAGGGCATATTCTGAAAGCCAGCCTCCTTCCTGCAGGCACACAGTCTTACTCAATCCAAGGGCCTAGAGCTCACAGCTGCTCTATCTCTCCATGCCGCTGCCTCTGCCATCACTGTTCCTCTAGGTAGGATCTCATGCTCCACTCGTGTTCTTCTTTCTTCTTCTTTTTTTTTTTTTCCAAATGTTTTATTGTGAATTATATGATAGTTTACATGGGAGAACATTAGTTTTATATTCATCCTATCATATATCATCTCATTGCTATGGGTACAATCCCCTCCATGCATCATCAACCAACCACAGGGTATACCCTGCAAGCCTGACCCCTGGTCATCAGCACACAGCCCCTCTCCCTCTCTGTGTCTAAAGTCCTCAGCTGCTCCATCTCTCCACATCATCATCTCTGCCTCCATCTCTGGGGTCACTGCTTCTCTGGGTAGGGTCCTGCTCTCCGCTCTTCTCCCTTGATGG